ATCAATTTCTCGGCTACGTTCCATATTTGAGCGTATTGTGCACCGCGAACAATAACTCATCTCGATATTGCTGGCCTGGCTCTCGTATCCGGCGTACTCCTCCTCCTCCCTCCACATTACTCTTCTCGCTCTTTTCCTCGCCCGGTTTCCCTTTATATATCCGTCTCGCGCTCCCACGCCCGATCTCTCTCTCTCTCTCTTTCTCCGCATCGATAAAGTCACCGGCAGCCGAAGTCGATTTTTACGGACTCGAAACGGAACTTCGCCTATTAAAAGCGCGGGCTCCTCGTTATTCCTCGCGACTCTACTTGCGCGCCCTCTGTGCACCGCCGCAGAGCGGAGTAACGTGGAACTACTATTCCGATTCTTGCTCCGTGCGCGCGCGAGAGAGAGAGAGAGCGGAAAGGGAGGGGTGGTTAATCACCGGTGGGAGGCACGTACGTAGAAAAGGAGTCGGGAGGGCTTTAAAGGAGCCACGGCGTTTCGTTTCGTTTGGTTTACGCTCGCGTGGCACGTGGACGTGGAGAGAGAGAAAGAGAGAGAGAGAGAGAGCTCTCGGCGGAACGGTAAAGCGTGGAACGAGAAGGCAGGAGAGGGTAATGAAGGATGGAAAAGGGCCGGACGGGCCGGTGTTTGAGAAGCACTAGTCCGGTCTCCGGAGAGTGGTCGGTCTTCTCTTGGATATCCAGAGAGTAGTGGGTTGCGGGGAAACACAAGACGGGTGGGGGGGAGGGGGAGGTAGTGCTACGGGTGGCCACTTCCCAAGGGAGCTCGTTTTCAGCTCCGCCGCGCAACAGCTCCCGTGCCGCCGTGCACCCGCGTTAAAAGCTCGCCGGTAGAGCGAGAAACCGGGTTACACGCGGATACATATATACGCTCCCCTCCCTTTCTTCGATAACGCGCCTCCTCCCCTCTTCTTCCCTCCCTCCCTTCCTTCCTTCCTCCTTTTTCCTTCCCCGCTTTCGCGTCTCCTTAGAACGCTCCGCGATACACGAACGCTACGAAGTGGCAATCGCCTTACTTCGCTTTTCTCCCTTCCCCACCTCGCTCGTCAACGTCCTCGCAAATCAACGGAGGTTCTTACTTTCCACAAGCTCTCCGCTGCTACGCTTAGCATCTCCCTCTCTCCTTTCCCTTTGACGAACGAGTCGGACGATCGAAAATCCTCTCTCTCTCTCTCTCTCTCATGTATTTTCGATCGAGCTCGAGAGAATCTCGAGACGAATTTTTCGAATTTTCAGACGACGCTTTGAGGGGAATAAGTATCATATTTTTCGTACGTTACGAGAAAGAACCGGATTGCCGAAGATCCGAAAGGAAAGGAAAGGAGAGGAAAGGAAAATCGGCGTTTTTCGAACGGACGAGCTGACGCTTCCTCCTCTCCCCCTCTTTCGTCCGTGTCGCGTCCTCGCAGAGTGGATTTAATTAATGAACGCGCGCGGGAAATAAAGGGAGGAGAGAGGAGGGGAGAGAAAAACGGGGGACGGAAAGGGGAAACGCGGTTCCCACGGAACGAACGAAATTCGACGTCCGACGGGGACGTCGCGACGTTCCTTCCGACGGACGTTACGTTTCCGGAGA